GTCTGGACAGACGATAAAATCTTTACAGTTGAAATTGCGCACAACAGCCAGAACCAGGGGCAGTTGCTAACTCGGGCAGGGAAAAACTCTAGAGAACGACGAGTAAAAGCCAGGAGCCTGTTCCCGAAGTCGGCGATGGTATGGGCTGGAATAACACTAGAAGGCGGAACGCCTCTCGTTCTTGTTGATAAAAACATCAGAATCAACTCGGAAACTTACCAAATATTATTTTAAGGGAGCTTTCAGAGGAAATGGCACAAAATTGATGTCAACTACTTGCGGCCCACCGGGAGGGCCTTTACGAAGAGATTGGAAGCTTGTATTCTGGCCAAAGGCGATCATTTCGAACAATAGCTCGAATAAGTGTTCCTTTATCTAGTCATACCATTTAATGAAAATCGTTGGAGGAATGTGTCCTATTTATTTTTTACATGCGAGTAAATACCGGATCATACTTTGTAGCCACCCTGTATATTTTGGAAGGAGCAGGTCGACTATTAGCATGAAGCTATTATTTTAGCAGTTGGTGTTCGGAAGAGTGGGAAGCTCGTCGATCGCACAGTAACGGTTCGACATCATTCTCAGATGATCCACAGATCAACTGTTTCTTCTTGACTTCTTCATGAGCGAACGAATGACAGAGAATTAAGAGGAAAAGTTTTTTACAATCTAGCGAGGTGTCCGTTTCGACAAATGCTCTGAATGACGCCTAAAGGAAAACGTTCCTGACATTCCCTTCCTGTAAAAGATACGAACACAAGAAATATGAGATCGAGGCAGGCCAACGAGTTCTAAGATTCTAGCAAATTTTAATGATAAGTATGAAAATTCAAACATTTACTTCATATGGTTTCGTTGCATCAATGTAGTCCACAAATCCAATTTCTGGTATGAATACTCGGCGAAGGTTCGTTGCCGTTATTACAGCATAAGTCTCTGTTGCTGATATGACTACGCAAGACAGGCATAGAGCAATATATCGATAGCTAAACGAGAAATTACATTAGATTCCCTAACGTCGAGATGGAGGCAAATTCAGGAGCGGACACAATATTTAAGAATTAGAGCTGGTGCATAGAAAAAAGTCGCCGAAACCTATAGGTTACAGCTATGGTCAGGCCTTTCACCAACTACGACGCTACATGCGCAGTCAGTTAACCCTGCCAGGACCTCCCAGGAGGTAAAGTTCTCTACACAGACCTCGTTCCTTCGCAGTGTGAGTCGGCACGGCAAGTGTGCTGACTCACACCCTCGTCCATCCGAATTCTCATTTCGAGTTCTAGGAACTCATGTAGTTGCCGTCGGATCTGTGAATCTATTTCGGTTCTCTCTATTAGGGCTCCGAAGTCGAAAAATGAAGGGTATTACTCATCGCAACAAACCGACCGAGTAATACCCTGACGACAGGTCGATGGGCAGCCCTGATTATTAATGCGTATACCGTTTAACCTGGGAACGGGTAGGATAGGGTGGGGTGAGGGAGCAGGGAAAAGAGGGTCTCCATCCCCTTACCCATCTCACCCTAAAAGAGTGGTGAGGGTAACTGTCTCACTCTTCTTGTTTTGGGAGGAATGCAGTGGAATTATGCCCTAAGAAGGAACACGCAAAACGACATAAAACTGAGTTGATTGGCCCAACAGTTACGTTCCAGTGCTGATGACTAGAGGGGTCCGCAGATATTCACTTTTTGACTATATCGCATGTGATGTCGCTTCTGCGGCACAACTTCAAGATGTATTACCACGGAGATGTTAAGTTGTACCCGAGCTCCTTATTTGAACAAGCACTTGACTCACTCCAATGCTTTTTGGGAAGAGTTTGGCTAAATTAATGGTGACTATCGCCTTCAGGTATAAGTACGCTTCAGATGTTATGATTCTCACCGTGCGAATAGTAGGTTGTCCAGTGCAGGACAGAAAATAATAAGAAATCGGTTGAATGCCATGAGAAAAATCAGTAAAACCAGAAGTCTTTTGGATAGTATATCAACCACCAAAGTTGCCATATTTTGGTTGCTGATTATGGCCCCAAACCATAACGTAGGTAGTTTCAGTACAATACTGACTACGGAACGAAACGCTATAACGATCACAAGTATTCTGAGCATTTTGAAGAAGGGTACCTGTAATTCAAAATATGAGTTTATAAAGTTATAAAAATTGAAAAGAAAATAGGTAGATGAAATTCATATGAATAGGTGACTACAAACCGTAAATCGACGTCTTCCAGTGATCAATATGACAAACAGAAATTGGCTGACGACCAAAACTGCCAGTGTCGTGATGGTTTCCAGGGCTTTCAGCATTGTTGTGCTGTAGATAACTTGCTTAACCTTCTCCTCGCCAGTACAATCGCCTGTAGTGCAAAGAGGTACGAGAAAATCTCTTGGTCCACCCCTAATTCTCACGGTAGTTGTTGGTAGCGGTGTGGTGAGGGCAGGAAGCAACGACATCCTGTAAGAAGTTTGATTCATTCACAATCAACAGATCTCGTCGTGGGATGCTTCTTGTATTGAAAATATATGCAGGACTCGTCACTTTTGCATCTGGGTTGGCTTCGAGGAGACAGAGATATGTGGGACATCAGGTGCTCCGACCCAAAAGAAAAACTTCGGACTGATGAACGTTTGATAACGTTTTGAAGTTATTTGAGTCTGGAGGGGATGGGATTTGGATCAATGTGCAATGCCGTAGGCTCACTACTACTTGAAATTCTATTGGGGTAGATCCACTTTGCTGCTTCCAGTTGAGGTGGAAGACTTTCGGTGAAGATGAGTGGGGCTAGATTCCATTGATATCAAGAATTTCCTCGTGCAGTATGTTTAAGTCTAATTTCAATAAAGTTTAATAGTCGGGCCAGACAATGCGAAGAGAGAACGGGTTTCGTTGCTTCGTTTGCTTGACATCAAACGACGTTCACCATATTCAGAAGTATCTCGAAGGGGATCTGGTCTTTTCATCCAGTCTATGCTGCTCCCGGTCTCCCAAGCCTGATGGCAACTAACTAAATTAATGAAAAGGTAGATTCATTCAGTTTTTGGCTCATGCAATCTATGTACAGGGTGGGCCAAAATTATGATTACAGCGCGTGCTGACGTTCATTCCAAATTTTTTCTATATTCATAACAATTCATTGAATTTCTTCCATTTCACAAAGTAGCTTACGTTATTACCTTTCTAATGATACTAAACTTTTGGTAGATTTTTAACATAATATAAGCGTAACTAATCCGTGAATTAATTAAACGTCGCTTTGCATTTACAAACACTTTTGACACGGTGCATCTACAGACGAACCAGCGAAACAAGGCAGGTATTGCATTCAACCAAAAGGCGCTCTCGAGAGTTTGGAACAATTGCAGATAGGAGTGGTGAACCTAGGAGAGCTGTGGTTATATTTAGGGGAAGTGTTAAGGAAGCAGGGCAAAGGTCTACGTAGGAGCAAAATTCATTCTGAGTCCAAAAAGGATAAATGAATGGATATGTCACGAAATTTTCTGCGTGAAATCGTGAAGCATCCCCCAACGAGTCCGTTATACGATCAGAAACTGATTTCTCCAGAGAGCAGGTTAAAGAGAAGAGAAAGGTTGGCTAACAAAAGCTGCCTGTCGCATCCGAAAAAATTGTCCTACGGAGTTCCTGTTCACGACGAAAAGAGATTCACAGTGAAATAGGTGCTCAATAAGTAGAGCGATTACATTCATATGAAGCTTAAAGAAATGAAAGTGATAC